TCAAAAGCATCAATTCTTCTATGATCTTCCTTATTCAATGTCCAGCTTTCACATGCATATGAGGTTATTGAAAATATCATGGCTTGGATCAGGCACGCCTTAGTCCTCAAGCTGACATCTTTGCTCTTCAACACTTTAAAAAGGTCTTGTGCAGCAGATTTGCCTAATGCAATACCACAAAAGCAGTGATGAACAAAAGAGAGAAAGAAAAGAGAGAGAAGAGGAGACTGTGGATGGAGAGGTAGTAAATAGATGCTCTTCTTCCCCAACCAAGGAAAATCTACCCTCCTATAAGCCATTACAAAAAGGGATGGATGAAGAGAAAATTCACCCTAAAATGCTTTCATAACAAGAGCATAGATACAAAAACATAGTAATAATAAAGAAAGACAAGAAACAGAGAACTGGACAAGAAAAATTACAATTTATTGGATTGATGTAGGGTGTGGTTTCCCACTAGAGTCAGAGAAGGGCGCTGGGAGACAACACTTCCCTGAAACAATGTGCAGGGAGGGATCCAGATGATTCTGCCACATTCTTTCTTCACTGTTCTGGGATTCAATGAGCATAGTTTTCAACAGCATACGACCTGGAGGTAAACTGTGATTTCTTCTAAGATGGTTTCAGGAATAGACCCATTTGCACAAGTGGCTAGTGTTGAGACATGTGTTCAGCAGCAAGCAGGGCTGCCACAGGTGATGGGTTTGCAGAGAAGAGTGGAACAGGAGGGCTGGCAGCTGTCAGAAGACTGGCAAGAGGGGGTCATACACATAGTGGGCTGGCAGCTCATGGGCATGCACACAACTGGCTTGCAGCTCATGGGCACACACACAGCAGGTTTGCAGCTCACAGGCATACACACAGCAGGTTTGCAGCTTACGGGCACACACACAGCAGGTTTGCAGCTCACGGGCACACACACAGCGGGCTTGCAACTCACGGGCACACACACAGCGGGCTTGCAGCTCACAGGCACACAGCTGGCTGCCTGGCAGGAGCTGGGCACACAGCAAGTCAAGCTGCAGGAGGAGGGGCAGCACAGACACTGGGAGCCACCAGAAGAGCAGCTGGCAGCCCCACAGGGTGACTGGCTGGACATGGGCTGGCACAGCAGGGTCATACAGGAGGATGGTGGGCTGCAGCTGGAGCTCATGGAGCACGAGGGTGAGCAGTTGGTGGTGGGGACACAGCACAGGGATGAGCAGCTGGCCGACTGGCAGCCTGAGGAGCAGCAGCTATCACACATGGTGGGTGTGTGGTTGGAGCTGGTTTCAGAGAGGAGGTGGGAGCAGGTCTGCTGGCTACTTCTGCTGAACTGCCTTTATAGTCCTGGCACACAGGCATCCACGCAACACACAAGCACAACTATCCCTTTCCTTGTTTGTATTTCCTGTGGGCTGTCTCCCAGGACCTTATTTTTCTGTTATGGAATTTTCTGTTTTGGCATTAGCTTCATGACTAATTGCATCCTCTTTACATTCTTGTTTCATTTAAAAATCTGCCCATCCATCTTACTGGCTCTGTGTGGATTCTGCCTCATTCCTTAACATTCCACATGTGCTACATCATTTCAAAAACATGGATCTCCAAATTTACCTCTCCATATCACATTGATCTTCCCGGGAAGAATCTATGGTAGATGAAGAGAATCAAAGATTGTTAACTGGACTTTTTCCAGCACCGAGAGCTGGAGTTGGAGAGCCGGCAGATAAACCTGAAAGGATAAAGAGACTCTATATCCACAGGATAAATGAAAATGGAAGGGTTTTGGTCTTGTAGAAATTCATTTTTTAGATCCTTATCTTAAGACTGCTTCATAGTTAGAGAATCAAGATAATATCAGTAACAGGGCATCTTCAAAGGAGACACAGTTCTACCAAGCCCAGGGACAGCTGTTGTTGTTAAGTACTGTTGAGTAGGTTCTAACTCATACTGACATTGCAGTTGAGTGCTTATCCTACAGCGCCACACCAGTACTCCACCCCAGGAACCAAGATTGGGCAAACCATGAGGTGTTTGGGGTCACTGGACCAATGGAGGGTCTCCCCCTCTTGGCGTGCTATGGCAGGAGAGACAAGGGTTTAATATGGAGAACCAAATAACACATGCAGTCGTTGATCAAGTGACGGGTGCCACCACTCAGCTATAGAGTTCCAAATAAATTTATCTAACATATGTTTTCAGAGTCCTGGTGTGGTGCTTTAAGATAAACACTGGGCTGCTAACCATAGGTCATCAATTCAAACTCACCAGCTGATCCTCAGAAGCCCTGTACAGATTCATTATGAGTCAGAACAAACTTGCAGCACTTAACAATAACGACATATTTTCAGACAATGAACAAGAAACAAAACAAGACTTTTGTTCCAGAAATAAAAAGGAAAACTCACAGGGTTAATTCCACATTCACCTAGATCTAGATCTGGGGTCAACTTCCCAAATGCAGTGCAATGAACTAGAATCTGACAGGAACACAATACTCCTGTCTTCTGGAGAAGAAAGATAGAGTTTGAGGCATTTGAAGCACATGGAATCTTAGAGGTGGGGCATCAGAAAGGAGGGCGTTATGCATAGAACAAGTTCCATAAGTCTTTGTGAGGGTTTCTTGTGAATCTATGGAAGACGATGGGGCTGTACAAGCTCAGAGCAAGATCACTGAAAGCTAATCAAAAAGAAGCTGGCACAAAGTTGAGAACATAATTCCAGAAGCATCCAACTGAGACCCCATACAATTTGCATATTAGGAGTAAGAACCATATTCGATAGTAAGACCTATTCTGCAACGCCCTGATGTTGAATGCCCTTGATTTGGTGCCTGTTGCAGACCGTGTAAGACTGGTCAGAGGTT